CTCCCGGCGAGTTGGCTCCACGTACTCCGGCTTCGTAACTTTGGTGGGTGTGTTGGCGATGGAATTCGATCCCCTGAACCTCTCTCAGGGGGTCCCTTTTAAACCATGGATCATCTTGATCCCCAAGGAAGGTTTGAGGATATCGGACCTGGTACGGTATAACAGAAACTCTATCCCTTCCGAGTAGGACTTTGGAAATCACTTGACTCGTAGAGATATTTCCTATAATTTGAAACGGTTTCCACGCGACATATACGGAAACAACCCGTATACGTGAAGGTATACCTTATCGGTATATTCCATAAGTCATAGGATATGAGGTATGCCTTATCCGTAACCCTGATAGTATTGACTCAAACTATTTGGATCATTGCAGGCTACAATAATATGAACTGTTTATTTCATAAAAGAGTGTATACATCAATTTTATCAGCATTGGTCAGAAAATAACCTAACTAATTACTTTGCACCAATCAAAAACTCAGGATGAGATGAAAGAGCAATCTGCAATATTATGGTAACTTCGACGTATAATTTGACAAAAAAAATTATATTAGAGCAATTACCCATAAACCATAATAGTCTTCTGAACATTAAATCACAACATGAGGTACAAAATAGCCTGAACTGTGGTTTGCATTCAGGAAAGACCAATTAATGTTATGAATTAGGAAATAAATATACAAATCTATAATGCTAACATCAAGTAATGTAAATCTTAATTGATCATGATGGTAGAAAAACTGAAAAACCATGCTCCGAAGGTTTACCTTAGTATAAGTAGAAGGGTGAAGGTCCCTTGCAAACAGTACAAAGTGCAAATTTGACATCCCCTGCAACTGAATTTTTAAGAAGAACTTCCATCTACACTGCAGAAAGCCACAAACTCATATATTTTGGAGTGCAAAATATCTATATCATTATCTATTTTGAACAAATATTGGGCCCGTAATATTGCTCTTACCTTTACAAAGAATCCTCCTGCTAGCATGAATGCCATGATTCATGACTGTAACTGAAGGTACAGTTTTTGCCTTTTTTTTATATCCAAGAGGGTAGCTCCAATTGCCAATCCTAAATTCCTAATCCCTGCATATTACTTCCTGGGTCACAGATTTCTAATTTCCAGGTAATATATAAATTTAAAGATGAACTAAACTAATTGCCAGACAATATAATATTTGCATATTACCTTAGCTATATGATGTAGAAGCTGAATTATCCTGAGAGTCGTCGTTGAATCCGGCCTAGACGTTGGCTCATCAACAATGGTAGATTATGAAAACTACCTTTCAAGGCGAAATATTTCATATATGATATGGCTCAGCGAGGATGACACGCAAGGAGTGGGGTGTGACCCTCGTCGCGTTCCACCTCGTCGCCAACCACAGACCACCTCGCGAACATAGAATATACAATGAAAGATTAGCACTTCATCGAACTGCTATTTAAATAAAAATTAGTGTAAATATTAGTTTATAACTTAATGCAAAGCTTATTTAAATGAAAATTATTCTGTTTTACATACTAACCTTGCATCACATATCTGTAATGTTCTTTTTAAACTTTCAGCATTCATTGACCTTGGGCGCGCAATAGCTGTGGAACTGATCTCAGTAATGATGCCCATAATATTTGCTTGCATATGAAAGTAGAATAGATCACAGTCTTATAAGGCAATGTACAAATAGATAAAATGAAAATATTATAGTAATATATCATACCAACATAGAATATGTTTTTTATCAACAAGAGAGGGGATTTCATGGAAAGGCGTCAATGAAAATGTTATGGCAGGGGAAATCAGGTGGGATGTCAATGCATTCTTCTAAGGTTGTCCATTTACTGAATAAATTCATGAAGTCGTTTGAAACTGGTTTGTAAGTCTTGTTTGCATCTTTAACAATGAACGACTCTATGTATTAGACCTTCCCTTCATGGATGAGAGGTTTCAGAACCTCAATTGCAACTCGGTATATCTGAACATGAATGCTATTGCCCTACATATTTTTAATAGGATATACTATATTAGTAATATGTTTGGTATACTAATGTACACATACAATAAGAGGCATATGAGTAGTGATTTGATAAGTACCACTTCATCAAGTAAGACAAGGTCTGCAGGATGTTTGTATCATCATTGATCACGAAAATGCCAAAGTTTAGAAACCCTTGCGAGAATCTTTTTGTCTGAATCCCCAGGGTAAAGCTGTGAAATGAGCATGTGTGCAAAAAGCATAAACATTTTTTTTCGCCAGGAGCATAAACATTTCAGTATCTAAATGGAGTAATGCTATGCGATGAAAAGCGATGATAAAAAGAACATTACTTACAATTATAAGAGCCTTATATTGCAGGAAATATATACTATACAATACTGTCTAGGTATCTATTTATTATAAAATGTATGTATAAAAGCATTGGGGGGGGGGGGGTTCTTGTTGACGAAAAACACTACGTATCAAGCTGCGAAGCCTGCAACAACAGTATATTTGCATTATTATAGTAGCTTTGGTAGGAAAAAATGAAACACAGTATGCAGCAATGTTGAGAGCAGCACCGTTGTCAACGTAGCAGGTAGTATCTCAGTGTAAACAACCTATAGCCCTAGATTATAATGAGGGGTATTTTTTACCTTGCACCATAATCCTTTATCTCTCTTAAATAACTTCCTATATCCCTAATTATATTATGGAATGGAGGGAATATTAAAATCTGTGGAGACTGTTGGAAACATAGAAGCTCATTGCATGAGACTGTCATATCTGTACTATGTTCATAAGCTTCTCGTGTGAAGTATTTTTTACGACAAAGCTTACTTTTAGAGAATGATAAAAAGTTTCATATTTATTTTATAAAAGTTTACTAAGAAGAGTACATGTAGCATATTTTCGTATGCTACATATAACATATTTTCCACATGTTATATATATTATCTAAAAGGAATTCTATACAAAATTAATTGTTATCTTTACCGTCTTCAGATACATACTATTTTTAATATATTTTAATTTTCCCATGCATAATATTTTCTCATATGACAAAGTTATAAACATTAGTTATAGTTGCACAACAAATTACTATATTATCAATGGTAGATATTCCACACCTTCCATGCCCACGTGTAAATTCAACCTTCCACACCAATTAAACGGTCACTTGACGAAAAGGATATATTTGGAAGGGAAATTTTTTTCAAAATTCAGGGTATGCAAGTGAGTGAATAAAACTCGGAGCATGGAAGTGATAGCATATGATCTTAAGGGCATACAATGATTTTTCTTTAAACTGAAACTGACCACCATTAACATGATTACGGTTACGAGAAGTGCTTCTATGCTCCTCGAAAAAAAACCTGCACGAAAATTAAATCACATCAATGGCTCAGATTAAAAGGTGATTACTAGGATAAACCATCATTAGCAAGGGGCAATTTTGTCCTGGAAGTAAAAGCCCACATCCAGCCCAGGCCGATCGCTCCATCGATCTGGGAGGTTGACATGGCAACAGGGCTGGGTGGTGAAGATCACCAGATCGGCCGGCCATGTGCGAGGAACGGGAGGGGCGACGAGCTGTGCGGGCTGTTGTCGTTGCGCTCGGCTTTGAGACGGGTTATAGGACGATGAGATAGAGGACCAGTTCTCGAAGGGTAGTGTGGAAGCGACATACCAGATGGAGCATGGCCGCATCCGCTACGGCGGCCGTCCATGATGACACAAACTCCCGGCGAAATACTCGCTTCTTGTACCTAGCGAAACCTTGATAGAAATCCCAACGATTCAACTGTTTTTTGATTTAGTGGTTTTCGTCCTTTTCAAAAGCTGAACCTTTTGGCCGCTTGACATGGGTGTTGCAGATCTTATCAGAATATCATTCCAGGTGCATTGCGAGGGAATCGCCATCGTGAATCGATCGATGAGAGGCGGCTGGGTACGGGATGGGTATGGATATGAACTTTTGCTTCCTGGACGAAATTGCCCCTCGCTAGTGAGGTTTATCCTGTTAATCACTTTTTAATCCAGACCATTGATGTGCTTTAATTTTTGTGCAGTTTTTTTTATTGAGCATAGAAGCACTTCTTGTTACGAAGAAACATGCTTATGTGATCTTCAGATGACATGCAATAGTTCTTAGATTGAAGAAATCTGAGAGAATTCCATGTGAGTATCTTTGAACTGTGATGTATATATAGGAGTACATACCTTTTGCTTGTACATTTGAAACTTAGCCTCGGTGTTCTGCTCCTATTTGTATCAAGTCATATCCACTTCTCGTTACGAAGCAGAAACTGGTGCTCTTTTATCAACTTGTGAGGCTGAATATATCGCTACAACGGCTAGCATGTTCCAACAGACATTTTGACCCAAATTAAATCCATTTTCTTTTGTTCTGAAAATTGATGTTCAGATTGATGCCTAACATGCAGTGGAGATTTCAATTTTACTGGTATTCTACCTGTTTAAATCTTGCTTATCCCAAACAGTTCCTCTACGAGAGATTTTGATTCACTGTTATCTTCCGTGACAAACAATTACAGGTGTACCTACATAACAAGCTGTTCTGAAGCAGGTCCTGAAGCATCTCTCTGCTGAATTCGTGTTGTTTGCATATACGGAACTAAATGAAATTCCAGATATGTTTCTGCATACTATGCTCCACGAACTAGGAATCCTTACCACTTCCTCTGAATGCTTTGATATATAAAAAAAACTGCATACTTTGATATTCACTTGATTGTGCATCACACCTGACACTTTACAACAGCACAAGTGATGAAAGTAATGTTTTTCAGAACTGATACACCTCAAACTCCCTCAGAAGCACTGTTTACCAACCTGAACTTTTACATGCCAACACAAAGGAATTCAGAGCTGGTGCAACACAATTTTGTTCTTGGCATCGAGCATCGTTCAACGATGGTGAACTGAACGTGGCACACATCACAGGGCATCCAATATGTAGGAGAATACTTAGCAGTAACACAAAGAGAAGTGACATGCATATGTATAAATATAAATCAAACACGGGGCTTTAGACACGGAAAACAACCAAATTACACATAATATACGCAGATCCAAAGAGAGCAGTGCAAAGTTACTGAAACATTGGCCCCAGAGAGTGAGGTTACAGAGTGCACTCAAACACCTAAAACAACATAGCACGTCGCTGCTGCTCTTATTGACTTCCTAGCTAACCCCATTGTCATGATTAAGGGTAACAAACTGACCATTGCCCTATGCAAGTAAGATGATCAATGTCCATCTGCCAGTGAATCTGAGTACAAGGGAACATAGGGAAGATAATGCAGTGTGGAAACAACTCCAAGCTCACCTATATAATGCACTTCCCTGCTATCCATTTCATAGGATATCAATATTCCTTCATTTGGCAAAACAAAGAAAATGATATTCCGTTCCGGGTGAATCGAGACAACTTAGTAGTCATGTCCAAAATCTTTTCTCCTTCTTCCAAATAGATGTAAATGGCTGACAGTGTGCTTCAAGGTCCACTGATCACTGCTGTAGTCCTGAAGAACCCATACTGATAAGCTGTTATACAGATCGTAGCGATCGGTATTTACGAAATACAGTCGACCTTGAGACAGATCTACGAACCCGTCATCGACATTGCAGTCAGGATCATCAAGAGTTTGTGGCATTGGAATGGTCCTCCAAGAATTCCCCTCCACATCCACCACTGCAACCACATACCCCATGGTGATCAAATGCAGCATCCCGTTGAAGAACACGCTCCTCCAATCATCAAGCACCCCGATTTGATGGCCCCAACCAATGTCCTTGTGACTCCACACTCCAGTTTCAGATGAATAGATCTCCAGCGCGTTGATAGTTGCATCAAGTTCACCATCATCTGCTTCCCCATCCGCGTTCGCGGGATTCTTTTCCACCAACTCGAACACATGGAAATGGGAGGAGGAGACCGCCGGATCGAACCCCAAGTAGGCAATCTGTCTCTTGTCAGACCTTGCGGATTCAGGCAGGACGACCCATTGCCGAGTGGCGTGATTAACCACTAGGTAATCGAATCTCCGCCGGTAATCGGAAATCCTCCAGCAGCGGCAGAGGAGGCCGTTGCAGGAATCGAGGAGGTCGAGGGCGCGGCACCGGGGAAGGAAGTGGAGCGAGGGGTCGAGGAAGAGGGGGCGGCGTAGTGGTCGAAGAATCCGGCGATGGCGCCGTGGAGGTGGTAGCGAGGGAGGCGGTGGTCGGAGTCGGGGTGGGAGATGACGCGGCGCCACCGCCAGCAGACGCACTTGAGGCCGCAGAGCGTCTTGTAGGGCACGCGCGAGAGGACCTCGACGAGGAGGTCGTCGGTGAGGTTGTCGTCCGGCGGCGGGATCCCCTCCCTGCGCGCCTCCTTGGGGGGGGGGGGGGGGGGGGCGCAAGCGCGCGCTCAGGGAACGAGGTTGTTCATGGGGGTGGGGCGCGTACGCGCGCGCGCGTCAGTGGGGCCCCATGTCCCCATCCCCGCGCGCCCCCTTTTTTTTTTCTTTTCCTGTTCGTACTTTTTTTTTCGATTTTTTCGCCTCCGGACGCGTTTTTCCTTTTTTTTTGGCCCTTTTTTTCGATTATTTTTCAATCTTTTGCACATTTCTTTATAAATGTAGAATTGAAAGTTTATAATTTTGACTCTTGACTTGAAAGTTTTCAAATTTGAGATGAAAGTTTCAAATCTAATGTTTTAAATTTGTGTTGAAAGTTTCAAATTTGAGATAAAAAGTTAAAAGTTTTTAAATTTTTACTTCAAAAATTCAAATTTAAGGCAAAAGTTTTCAAATTTTGACTTCACGTATAGATTTATTTTTAATTTTTTATTTAAAAAATCTTAAAAAAAATCTTATCTTAATTATCGTCATATCTAACACTAATCGGATTAGTTATTTTATTGTACGCGTTTCTGGAAAAAAATCGCAAAAAAGAAAAAAAACTCACGGTGCCCACCAAACTCACGCGCATGTAACGAGGGCCCGCCACGTGGCACGCGCGCGACTTCTCTAAGTCGCAAAGTCGCATGTACGCACTAATTAGCAAAACCGAGACATGACAGTTGCAATGTTCTCCCAAATCTAAACAATTTTGCTCTATATTTTATCGGTAAATTTTCTCCCAAAATTTATTAAATGTAAATGTAGTATAATTATAATGTAATTTTTTTAAGAAACAATACAAACGCGGGCGACCACAATATGCGTGCACTCACCGCTATGAGCACACGCACACCCTACCCTATTAACCTAAAGTTTTCTAATTAGCACGTAGCTAAAAATCTGGCGCGCAATTTTTGATGAGGCTGTTTTTTTTTTTTTTTGCGCTAGCAATGACGTGCGCCGGATTAGAAGAAAAAATCGGATAATCACGGTTTTAATTAATCTTTCATTCCTTTTAGGAGGTTTGTTTCTTTTTTCCTTACAAAATAAAAATCTATACGTGAAATTTAAAACTTTCTATAGAAGAAAATTAAATCACACCTGTAATTTAAAACGTCCAACTCAAAATTTTGAATTTTCAACTCAAATTTGAAAACTTTCAACTCAAAATTTAAACTTTCAAGTTAATTTTAAAAACGTTCAACTCGAATTTGAAAACTTTCGATCCAAATTTTTAAAACTATCAACTCGAATTTTGAAAACTTTTAAGTAAAATTGAAAACTTTCAAGTAAAAATTTGAAAACTTCCAACTAAAATTTGGAAACTTTCAACTCAATTTGGAAAACTTTCAACTCAAATTCAAAAAAACTTTCAACTTAAAATTTGAAAACTTTCAATTCAGATTTGAAAACTTTCTTGGTCAAGATTTTAAAACTTTTAATTTGTGTGCTGGAGATTAAAAATTTTGGAATAAACGAAAAGGAAAAAAAGAAAACACGTCAGGAAAAGGGAGCGCAAAAAATGGAAAAAAATATCACCAAAAAACTACAAGAAAACAAGTCAAGAGAGGGGAGCACAAAAACCACGTAAAAACATGTGGACGCGATGGGGGCGCTAGCTAGCACGTGCCAGTCCTTTTGTTGACACGTATGCGCGGGATAGCAACCCCCACCCCCTTCCCCCATAAACACCTCCGATCCCCTTCCCCCATAAACACCTCCGAATGACTGGTCCGGCATATCTTGAGAGTTGAGATTGAAATATCACCACGGGCACCTTATTGTCGATGGGTACGTTTCTACCGCTGAAAGAATAATTAGCTGTAAATACGAGCACTCGTGTCAAAATTAGGATTTGATGCAACTTACATATAATTTTAAATCGTTAAATTTACCTTAAGATTCATGCAAGTTGGGAAGGAAAAAATCATAGCGCACACGGGTGAGGAGATTCGGTCTTGTGCTCTCTGGTTCGCGAAAATAGCTTGTTAATAGGGTTTTTTTTTTGAAAGTTATATACAAGTTGTATATTTGTATTGTAGTTATATGCAAGTTACAATATGATTATACTATATTTATATCTGTTATTTTTTTAAAAAAAACAAGCTAAATGCTCGTGCGTTGCAAGGGAATTACAAGTAAAATTCAAAAGGCAAAATATAATTATTCCCTCTCTAATCATCATATCACATTTGGTATAATTTTGTGTATATATGTTGAGCTACACAGTTGCTCATAGTGATGAACAATTGATATAAATTATTCAGAGTGTTTATAGTGATGAACAGTCTATCTATCTATTATATATATTATTAAGGCAACTAAAAAAGAAGCCACCACGCTCAATGTAAGGCTAGAAATTTCCATATTCATCACAGTAAAAGAAAAAAAGTTCAAGCAAAAATACAATTTAGAAATTAACTAAAATTCAGAATTAAAAATAAAGAAAATTTGAAGAAAATTTCATATAGGACCCAATACGAGATTAATTAAAATAAAATATAAAATAAAATTTTGAATTAGAAAAAGAAGAGTTTAAATAAAAATGCAATTAGAAATAAATGAAATTCAAAATTAATAAGTTATAATGGAAGACGAGTCCATATAGAAACCCACTATGAGATTAATTAAAATTCAAAATAATTCATTCATAATTGCAATTTTCATAATTGCAGCACTAGTATAGTGCAGCCTGCAGACATTTATGATCAACAGTAGAGAAAAATAATTGGCAATAGATAAAACGAAACAGGTTGATGAAATGATCAATCATTATTCCATCATTAGCTACCAAAGTCAGGATATATATACAACAACTCTAGGCATCTAGAATATCAAAAATTTCCAGTAAAACCACTATAATCGGACACAAACAGAACAGTTTTAATAGTTTCCATTGTCTAGATGACACACATTGTTCAACGCAACAAGGAGACTTATCAATGAACATCAACTTAGCCATAGCCATTGAGTTCCACTAACATGATCGATTTCACTAGCTACCACATGAAACATTACAGCAAAGCTAAAATGTACATTTTGGAAATATACAGTACTGCTAATTGGCGTCTGACAGAAAATAATAATTCATTATAGCCGAGTATACCCTCGACATGTTCTACAATTGTGATATCTTTCATGTGATTTAGCGTTCAACAGATCAAATATTGGAATTTTCCTTAACAGTCTAATAAAAAGGTGTAGCCTTCCTTAACTAGTTCATATCATTCCAACACTGAGAACTAACATAAACTCCCATGCTAAGCAAAACAAAAGGTAGGTAAGGTAGTCTGACTAAGGAAAAGAATCCAACAAAAAAAAAAAAGATAAATAGCATAATGTGAAAGCTTAAACAATATTGACGTGAATAAACGCTTCCTCATGAGGGAATAAGCAATGTCAAGAATAAATTTCTTAGACACTAATCATGCATGACTCAATGGAAAATATAAATATATGATTATAGCCTATAGGATCCATAGTTAAATGGTAAGTGCTAGAGGGTTTTAGACACTGTAAACAATCGGATAAACATAATGTCATGCAAGTCCAAACAGAGTTCAAAGTTACTGAAACATTGGCCCCCCATAAAGTGAGGTTACTGATGACTTAACTTCAATGCCATAATTAAAGTTAACAAACTGAGCATTACGCTATGCAATTAAGATGATCAATGTACATTTGCCAGTGACTCCGAGTACAAGGGAACATAGGGAAGATAATGCCGTGTCAAAATATCTCCAAGCTCACATATATAATGCACTTCCCTGCTATCCATTTCATAGGAAATGAATATTCCATCATTCAGTGAAACCAAGAAAATGATATTCCGTTTTGGGTGAATCGAGACAACTTTGTCGTCATATCCAAAATGCTGTTTGTCAGTTCCAAATAGATGTAGATGGCTGACAGTGTGCTTCAAGGTCCACTGATCACTGCTGTAGTCCTCAAGAACCCATACCGATAATTTGTATAGATCATCGCGATCGGTATTTACAAAACATAGGCAATCTTGAGACACATCAATGAATCCATCATCAACACCATAATAAGGATCAACAAAAGTTTCTGGCATTGGAATGGTCCTCCAAGAATTCCCCTCCACATCCACCACTGCCACCACATCATCCATGGTGATCAAATGCAGCATGCCCTTGAAAAATACGCTCCTCCAAATATCAAGCGTCCTAATTATGCAGCCCCAACCATTGTTCCTGTGAATCCACACTCCAGTTTCTGATGAGTAAATTTCCACCGCAACGACATTTCCATCATGGTCACCACTCATACCCATAGCACTATGCTCCACCAACTCGAACTCGAACACATGGAAATGGGACGAGGAGACCGCTGGATCAAACCCCAAGCGAGCAATCTGTTCCTTGTGAGTCCAGCCAGATTCAGGCAGGACGATCCATTGTTCGGTGGCAGGATTGGCCACCAGGTAATCGAATCTCCGGGGATCGGAGAGCCTCCGGCGGCGGCAGAGGAGGAGGCCATTGCAGATGTCGAGGAGCCGGAGATCGCCGCAGTCGGGAAGGAAGGGGAGCGAGGGGCCGACGAAGCGGCCTCTGCCTGAGAAGCTGATGAAGGATCTGTGGTCGAAGAATCCGACGACGGCGTCGTGGAGGTGATACCGCGGCAGGAGGCGGCGGTGGTCGGGGTCGGAGATGACGCGGCGCCACCGCCTGCAGACGCGCTTGGAGCGGCAGAGCGACTTGTAGGGCACGCGCGAGAGGACCTCGACGAGGAGGTCGTCGGTGAGCTTCTCCGCCGCCGGCGGGATCCACACCCTAGAATCCTCCTCCTCCGCCATGGCTGCGCAAGAGAGAGATCAGAGAAGCAAAAGGGATCACGGCCCGTTTGGTTAGGAGGGACTGGGTGTAAAGAGAGATGAGACTATTTAAGTGTTTTGTTTGGTTTGGAGACATGGGAATTTTGATGGGATGGTGATGGAGAATTGAGTAAGGAACTCCCTCCTTTTTAATACCTGGGTAGGGGCAGGTAACTGGGAGGAAATTCCTCCTTTACTTTTTCTAAGCAAATCTCAGCTATCCGTTTTTATTAATGACCTAATCTCTAACTAAACTCCCTATCAATTTCTATCATCTCTACCAAACAAGATATTAGGTTTAAAAATCAAATTCCCATCTTAATCTCATCATCAATTCCCTCGTGTAAATTCCCAATCCCCTTCTCTCGAGTTATCAAACAAGCCGTCAGGAAAAGGACGGCGGCGCGGCGAGGGCTTTGTTGTGGTGATCGGCCATACGGTGTGGGGAATTTCATCTAATCCCGATTTTTACGGGGAATCATATTATGCGAAAGAAAAGGCGAAACAAGGTATTTACAAATAAAAAAATAATTTATAAATAAATTTTTATATAAATGGTAACGATTTTAAAAAAGGCTGAAAAATAAACTACGATGAAAAAATTCCAAAATCAACTCTACATTTAACGTTAGAAATTTAAATGTTTTACTAATAAGTATAAACATAATTGAAAAGATGAGGAGTTTTTTTTTTATTCTGCACTTTAGCCCTTTGGTTATGGGGTTTTACCGAAACAGATAATATCACTATTAACAATTATCGTACATGCCATGAGTTTGATCAATGGACAAAGAAACCATAAACCCTTCCATGCGCACGCTTCCTATACTATTAAAATGTGTATTTTTTTCTGAAAAGTTTCGATATAAAAGTTGTTTTAAAAAATAATAGCAATCTATTTTTTAAATTTAAAATAACAATATTTCTCTCAAACACTCCAACTTACTTCCTCGTTTTCCGCGCGCACGTTTCTCAAACTACTAGATGATGAGTTTTTTTGCGAAAAAAAATTTCTATACGAAAGTTGTTTTAAAATATTATGTTGACTCATTTTTAAAAAATAGTTAATATTTAATTAATCACGCACTAATGGATTATTTCGTGTTTTGTGTATGGGGAGTTGGGGATAGGCACCTCCCGAACACGAGAAATTTGGCATTATGCCATCTTTGGAATGGGGTTTCGCTGAAATGTCATTCCGGAACGTGGCTTCGTTAAAATACCACTTTCAGACGATGCCAACTTACTGGAATGCCATTTTCTCCATTTTACACGAATTGTAAATGTTTTGGCACATACACTAATCTTTTTGCGCCTTACCTAAGCCGATGATGCCTTTGAGCTCTGCCGCCGATTGTAGCCGAGTGAGGAGGACGGGTTGCCATCGGAATAAAGATGGCGCATCCGGCCGATGTCACCTTTGAGCTACTCCGCTGTCGCGGCGCCGGTTTCCGCTGAGCGAGAAGGAGTGGTATGGGTCATGGGAGATGGGTGGTGTTATGGAGGAGGAAGGTGAGGAGCTGGGACAATAGCCGCCATCCTGACCATAGAGCGAACCGAGGGGGAGACTCGAGTTCGTCGGGCTTCCTGTTTCTCTCGCCGCCGTTCTGCTTTCCCAACGCTAGAGCGGCTCAACCTTTCACTCATCTCACCGTGGGTGCACCCGCTCCTCTCCTCCATCCCAGTCCTCGCTCGCCATCTATTGCTGCGACCCTACCAAGCTTGTCAACCTCGCCGCACTGGGAGGGCTCCCTCTGTCGCGTCAAGCTCGTGCGATGGCACCAGCGCTGCCTGAGCCTCTAGGCGTGGATCTAGAGCCACTGCTATAGGCCTGCCATTTTCTCCAAGGCACGGGGAGGAGGATAATGGCAGTGGTGGCTCGCCGGTGACGGTTCACATAGGAACGAAAGGGAAGAGATGGAATCTAGAGGGTATTTTGGTTAGCTTGACAAGAAAAATAGGGTAAAATTCATGTGATTTGATAAAAAATGGAAGAAATAGTAGTAGCATGTTAGCCTTGTTTGAAGATGACATTCTAGGGAAGCCAAGCAATGTCAATTTTCTCCCCCGGAGACAGCCTAGTGCACAGCTGAGAGCATCCTATTTATCAACACACCCTAGCCGTCCATTTTCCGTCCCTCTCATCAACGGCCGTGATCAAACACCAACGCTAGTCTCCCTCTATAAATCTTCCTCCCCCTTCCCCATCCAAACCCTAACCCCCTCCAAAACCCTAAACCTCTCCCCCTCACCTGCGGCGGCGGCGGCGGCGGCGAAGCACCTCGTCGGCACGACACCATGAGGCCACCGCGAGGTAAGCAACCACCCGAAACCCTAGGATTCATCTCGCGCTCGATTCCACTTCCACCCTTACACGATGCTGTTCTGCGTCAGGCAGGGGATTCGGGAGGGGAGGAGGAGGGAGAGGCGATGGCGGCGGCCGCGGCGGCGGCGGTGGGAGGGGATTCGGGAGGGTCGGGGACAGCGGCGGGAGAGGAGGCCGTGGTGGGAGGGGAGGCAGGACGCCGAGGGGCCGTGGCGGCGGCCGCGGTGGCGGCGGGAGGGGTGGCATGAAGGGCGGGAGCAAGGTGGTCGTGGTGCCGCACAAGCACGACGGCGTGTTCATCGCCAAGGCCAAGGAGGACGCGCTCTGCACCAAGAACATGGTCCCCGGCGAGTCCGTCTATGGCGAGAAGCGCATCTCCGTCCAGGTCCTTTGCTCTTACTCCCTCCATTTTTTTTTGCGTTCTACTTATTTAGTGTTTTGCTAGAACTGTAGTATGATTGTATTGTACTGTAGCAAGCTGTAAGATGTTGCAATGTTGATTCTATGCAGTGTACACAGATTATGTTCAAATCGTGCTAGAACTGTTAGGATAATTTAGTGCGCTGTAGAAAGCTGTAAGATGTTGCGCAATATTGCTTCTTTGTAGTGTGATACAAAGATTGTGTACATGACGCTTGTTTCTGTTCATATTGATCTGTTTTATTGTACATGACTGTTGTTTCTGCTTTTCTGCTATGTACAGAATGAGGATGGAACCAAGGTTGAATACAGGGTGTGGAATCCCTTCCGTTCAAAGTTGGCTGCTGCTGTGCTTGGTGGTGTTGACAACATCTGGATTGTAAGTTTCTTGGTTGAATCCACGTGTGCAACTTTATGCTTAAGTGGTTTAAAATCACTGTGGTTTGTTAATGCTGTAGTATAAAAAAATGCATCAAGTGTTAATGTTTGCATCATGATTTTAGGCTCCTGGTACCCGTGTGCTGTATCTCGGTGGTGCCTCAGGAACAACCGTGTCTCATGTGTCTGATATTGTTGGACCGGTGAGATCTCATTTACTGTTCTCATTTATTATTCAGTCACCTAGGTATGCAATTTTGCCATTCGCTAATCAAGTCATTTTGCAGACCGGTTTGGTCTATGCTGTTGAGTTCTCGCACAGGAGTGGTAGGGATCTTGTCAACATGGCCAAAAAGAGGACCAATGTAATTCCCATCATTGAAGATGCTAGGCACCCGGCGAGGTACCGGATGTTGGTTGGCATGGTTGATGTTATCTTCTCTGATGTTGCCCAGCCAGATCAGGTATACCTTTCTCACAATGATTTCATGATCTTGAAAACGACCTTAGATAATTTATTATATGGTTACTAGTTAGTATTCATTAAGTGTGTGACAATGGTTTTGGTGACATTCTTTGATTACTTGCGGGCTGCAAATGATGAGCTTACTCGGATTCCCCTTCAGGACATCAAATTGGATGATGCAGATTCGAGTTTCTGATGCATTAAAGCCCATTACCACCTGTTTTTTCTTTGCTGTTTTTGCCTGCTTTTTAAACTGTCTTTGTTGTCAGTTTTCTTATGTCTAGCTGTTTATATTCCAGTTTATGTTTAAGCAACCTCCAACCCAGAAGTTCTATTCCTACACACGGAGTAGTATTCTTGTATGCTTCTGAAGTACTTAAATTGTAACACGAAGATGCATTCTTTCTTTTGAAACACTTCTGTTATATATTTTTTGAATCTATCCTTTTTGAAATTGGTTTTCAATTGTTATGAGTTAACCATGGCTATGGATTTCTTTTGGAAGCGTTTGGTGGCCTTGATGTCTTTTACTAATTTATAGAATTATTTACAGCACGAGTATACCTGCAGTTTTGCTTCTATATGGCTGTGTTATGCATATGAGGACTTTGCATTTCAGTGCCAGCACTACTTACTATGTCCCTATATCCCTTATTATTTAATATTTTGATTGGGCTTAGCATATGATGATCTTACTCGGATTCCCCTTCAGGACATCAAATTGGATGATGCAAATTCGAGTTTCCGATGCGCTGTGCCTCCATTATTTCATTCCCTTCTCTTTGCATTTTATGAGTATTCTGTACATCATATTTGGATTGTGCTAGCAATTTGCCATATGCTTGGTTGTTTATACTCTCTTTAGTATGGTACAACCTTCAGCGATATGTGTGCTTTGTTGGTGGCTAATAGTCATGTTTTTGACTTTTTGCATATTAATTTTCTTGATATTGTCTTGTTCTTTTTTCTGTAATATGTCAGCTTTCCTGGTATAGCTTTCTCTCCTATTGTTATTTTGTTAGTCTAGTGCTAATTAGAACTATTCCAGTACTTGCCGTACTACATTTCTTAATTCTGTGGCAGTGTCGGACATTGATATGTTTTTGCCTTGTAACATTGCTTACAATAATTCATGTATGTTTGCTGCTAGAGTCTCGGATAAATTGTCTGCATATAAAATTCCCTTTATGGAATCTTCTTCCATGGCCATGTCCTTTGTTGAAGATCTTGAAGATTCTCACTGATTTTTGAAACCTTTCCTATGGAATCCTCTGTCCTGCAGGCTAGGATCTTAGCCCTCAATGCATCCTACTTCCTGAAGAATGGTGGACATTTTGTCATTTCAATCAAGGTACTTTTGTCTTTTCTCTCCCCTGAATCCTGAAGATAATCACCTTGATTGAGGTTGAGATTGGGGAGATATTAGATGTAATACTAGGTATTGGACTGAAATTGTTTGAACAG